GCTCGGCGGGATGCGTGTCGGGGGGCTATCCCGGCTCCCGGCCGCGCCCAGGGAGGGGCAGGGCGCCGGCGGGGGGTGTCGCGGCGCTGCTTGCGGCGCCCCGGCTCCCGCCGCCTCACCTCGCTCGATATTGGTGATGGCCCGCCGCAGGTGCTCCTCGGTCACCAGCTCGCCGATGACCACCAGCAGGTAAAACTTGCTGTCTAGGAAGCGGTGGGAGAGACTGGGCGAGGTGGAGGTCGGGTTGGGGATGCTGCAGCAGGGCTCCGAGTCCACTTCCACCACTACGGTGGCCATCGCCTCCGCCCCGCGGCTCCGGGGCGCTGAGCGCAGAGGGGCCGCTCGGCGGCAGCTCCGCAGGCGGCAAGGAGGGAGTGAGGGCGGGTGGGGAGGCGGCGGCGCTTTTATATGGAGACGGTGCAGGGCAGGGACCTGGTGAGGAGGAGGAGGAGGAAGGGGGGGAGCCGGCGCATCCTCCGCGCCGCCGCCGCCGCCGCCTTTCCAGCATCCACAGCTGATGTCATCTGCGGCAAATCCTCCCCGCGGCGGCCCCCGGAAGCAGGAAGGACGCGGGGGGCGAACAACGCCCCGAGGGGACGCCAAGGGCTGCGCCCCGCGCCTGGCTCCCGGCCCGGCCGTGGCACCCCTGGGCCCGCGCCCCTCGCGTCCCTCGCTCCCCGCGCCCGTTCGGGGCGTCACCCTGCCGGCTGGTTACCCCTAGGCCCGTCCCTTAAAACAGGGCCATGAGGGGCCGCAGGTGATGGCCTGGCAGACCTGGGGAGCTCATGCGGGAAAGCCGTCATCGGGACTCCAGCAGCGCTCCAGAAGCGGGTGAAAAAGCAGTGCCACTGCCCAAAGCCAGTTGTCCTCTCCTACATCTTTCTGTACCACTGCAGCAAAATTTGAGTCATACTTAAACACACACCCTCACCCAGAAATCTAAATATTCTTGCTAACTTTTTAAATTTGAAAGCAGCTTATTTGATAAGATACTTCACATATAGCTCTTCTGCATATTCAATACACATGGATATATGACACCAGAAAAACACTGGTTTTGGACAACATGTTGAAACCCGTAGTCTTAGCTTACTAAAAGCTGCAGAAATTCAAGGGCTTTGATAAGTAATGTTGACTGGGCTCAAGCATCTCCAGGGAGCAATGATAGCAGAAAACTTATACAATGATAAAACCAAAGGTTTCATCTATCTTCTCATAGATAATGGTATCTACACCCCAATACTCAGTGATAACCACCTGTAAAAAGTGTATTGCTCTCTCCTAATGAGGGATGGAGAAGTCAAATCTGTCTGTGATGTTCCTCTCACTTTACTGACATAAGCAAGCCACTTGTTTACACTAAGCCTCTTGTTTGTAAGGCTCAAGTGATGGGAGATAAATTTCACTGTGACATAGCAAAGGATATAAACTTTTATAGCTTGTTTTTTCAGATAGCCTCCTGTCCCTGACTGAGAAGACACTTCCTCTGTCTGCAGCTTCTTTCAGTGCTGGGTGTGCAAATTCTCTGCCTGCTGCTCAGGAACAGAGTGCTTGCCTGGGTGAACCAGTATATCAGCCTTGTCTTCTTCGTATTTTGTTCCAGGGCACAGTGGACTGATTTGCATGCATTTCAGGTTGTCAGTCCTAAGTTTTTTCTGTCTTACTAGCCTAGAGGCTACAGTTTCAACCCACAAAGATTAGAAGAGGATCATTATACGTGCTGGTCCATAGTGTTGTATCTGTCTATAGCACCTAGTGGTTTTGATATGAATAGTTCCTCTGCATAAATACAGCACTTAGAGTCTTGGCTTACACAGTGTGGTGTGTTTGGATGTTGCATCCAAAGTAGACTTTTTCTGAACTGCTGTTATTCTGAAGGTTGTGGAGTGCGGACAAGCGTTTTCACAGCCATGTCAGGTGGCTGAGATGACACAGTGGTGAAGAGCAGCAGTGCTCATTCTTCACTGGAGCTGACACTGCTTATAGGACAAATACAATAGCATAGATGCAGAAGAACTAGCAGCAGTTTTAAGGTTTGCAAGGTATTCAAAGGTGCAGTGTGTTCCTCATGGGACATCCCTGTTAATCTGGGCCCCAGTGTGACTTTGCTGTTTCCTGTCAGTTTCCATGGGATGGAGTAGATGCCTACTTAGAAATAATGTCCATCCCCTGTAGCCTTTTCCTATATGACCCCCTTCCTCATAATTTATTATAATTGTAGATATCTTCAAGACTTGCCATGTGGTACCCACTGGAGAAAGCCAGCTTCAGGCTTCTGTCACTGCAATCTGTAGTTTTGGGATGTGCCTTTATGTCAATCACCAGCAAGAGCGGCTAGTCTCTCAAGCATAGAAGGGGCTTGCCAAGGGGTCTTGCCAACTGGTTGCAGAATAGACAGATGCTGGTTCCTGGACATAAAGGTAAAACAATTACTTGCCTTACAAGCACAACAGGTTAAATGTGATAGTCAGAGAAATGCATGCCAATACTCAAAAGGCACTGTTATGTGCTTTTAAGTACTTCTTTATTTTAAGGAAAAGTGGAAACATCCATAGCTGGAAAGATGCCTGTGAATTTGAAAAGAGCTGAAAAGAATGCATTTTATCAGAGAATAAAATGCTTACATACAGGTAGGTGATACAGTTACATTTGAAATAGTCTGCTCAGGTAGTCCTCTATTTTGTACTACTGCGTAAAATAACATGCAGTTAGAACATGGTATGATAAAAGATGAACTGTTGCAGTCAAACTTTCTTGTGATGGGTGATGTGTCACCCATTAAAACCCTAAGGACAAGAGGTTGTCTTTGGGAAAAAAATGGTCTTGTGCTAAACTCTTCAAAGGATGCAGACTCCTAGCCTTGTCTGTTCACAAGCATGTGCTGCCTCATCTGAGATGGAAGGTAGATGAGAAATGTTCTGGAGGATAAAGCACCTATCTGTGAGGAAGCTGCAGGGTCCCAGCTCTGTAGCCACTGTTCACACTGTGTCTTGCCCTGTCCATATCTCAGTCAGGTAAATGTGTTTGTCATCATCTTTGCCAGATGTCATCAGCTAATTTATATTCTGTAATATGGAGCATCAGGTCCACTGCTGAGTGAAATGTGGAGATATGCTGCACAAAGCTGACTTAATGTCCTGTGACCCCCACTGTCTGAGAGTGATACCACCTGCCTATCTGCAGCTAAATCACATAGATGTGCCCCTTCAGTAGAAGAAACAGCAACATTCATGGACTATGGAATATATCTGACTGTTTCAAAGAGACAGTGATTGAGATCCGCACCTGTCTGGCTTTTAGTTGCCTTGGTTTGATTTGGTTGTTTTATTATGTTCAATACCAAATTGGATCCCCACAGCTGAATGTGGTCAAATAGTATATGAAAAGCTGTATTTTTTAGATGTTGTATTTTTTAAAGAGGCAGTTTAAATAAAGTGCTTGAAATTTAAAACATGCTTCTTGGTAGTATGTGCCATTTGTTGCCCACTAATATTCAAGCTTCATTCAAGTCCAAACTTCAAATTTTAAATGAAGTTTCAGTGATGTGCAAGCCTTTAGACTGGCCCTTTGTCTCAGGTCAAGTGTCATCCCTACTGTAAAAGAAATACATATCCATATGGATTGCTTCAGACCAATTGGCATACAGGCTGGGGAACAAGAGGTTGGAGAACAGCACTGTGGAGATGGACCTGGGGTTGCATATGAGTCAGGCAGCCAGGAGGATCACCCATGTCCTGCGAGCATCAGGCCCAGCATGGCCAGCCGGGCAGGGGAGGACATTGTCCTGCTCTGCTCTGCTCTGCGCTGGGGTGACCTCACCTCGATTGCTGGGGGCAGTTCTGGGTGCCACAGTGTAAGCGAGATACACAACCATTGGAGAGTGTCCAAAGGAGGGCCATGAGGATGGTGAAGGGCCTTGAAGGGAAGCCATATGAGGAGCAGCTGAGGTCACCTGGTCTGTTCAGCCTGGAGAAGACTGAGGTGAGACCTTATTGCAGTCTACATCTTCTTCTTGTGAGGAGAGGAGGACAGGCAGGCACTGATCTCTGTGGTGACCAGTGGCAAGACTCAAGGGAATTGCATGAAGTTGTGTCAGGGGAGGTTTAGGTTGGGTATTCAAAAAAGGTTCTTCACCCAGAGTGTGACTGAGTGGTGGTAGAGGCTCCCCAGAGAAGCTGTCACAGCACAGAGCCTGACAGAGTTCAAATGTTTGGACAACACATTCAGGTATGTGGTGTGATTCTTAGGGTGTCCTGTGCAGCACCAGGATTTGGACTTCAGTGATCCTCATGGATCCCTTCCAACTCAGGGCATGCTGGGATTTTTTTTGAATTTAGGAACTTTACTGAAACTGAAGGGTGTTCATTGAGAGAAATGTCAGTCTGAGGATTGCACAATATGTCATGAAGGGCATTCCTTGTGTCAGTAGGATTTCTTAAGTTTAGGCAGGAAGGCCTAACCTCTAGAGATGCAGATTTGCCTGCCTGAGATGACAGATTCACAGAATGTCTGGTTGGAAGGGGCTTCTGAAAGTCATATTGTCTAATTCCCCTGCTCAATTGGATGGTAGGTTTCTGAGAGCTGTGTCCAGTGGGGTTTGAGTATCACCATGGATGGAGACCACCACCATTCTGGGCTACTTCTGATGCATGATGAAGTCAGGAATATGCAACCAATATTACAGCAGATAATAACTATAACATTGTGTACCTTACCTGGTGCCTTCCCAATGTGACCATCATTCTCAATACCCCCACTCTGCCTCACCCCCCATTTTCTGCAACCAGAAGCTCTACCATTCCCACATGGTGCAGCCTTTACCTCTCAGAGTCTCCTCAGTGCATTGGTCCTTTGGGAACTCCACAGAGTGTGCAGCAGCAGCGCAGGTGCAGAGGGACAGTCAGCATGTCACCCTGGCCCCAGCAGGGCAGAAGTGTCACCCTGCAGCTGCTGGCCATGGTGTGATTAGTCATGAGCCCTTCCCTGCCAATACTTGGGCATGTAGTTCATGAAGACAACTCCTCCTGCCTTCCCCCACTTTTGAGGCAAGAAAGCATCTTCATCTCGAACATCCTCAAGCTGGTGCTGCCAGAGGAGCTCCTCCTGCAGCAGTGATATGGCAATAGCCAGGGTCATCAGAGAGAGCTGTACCTGCATGAGCAGACAGAGACTTGAACTCCATGAGAGACTCTGGGAAAATACTTGACATTTTAGGATGGCAGACTTTAACTACATGGAAAATAAAAATTACTTGACCAACATTCATTTCAGGTATTTTAAAAATATTACTTCAATTTTAATGGTTACTTTTT